CGGGCAAATTTAGTCAACTTACTGGAGGCTGCCAATAAAATCACTCCATCCGAGGTGTTGTGAATTTGTGCCATCTTCTCCACTCTCCTCACTCACGTCATTACATTCTCTTCCTCGGAGCCTTCGAATTCCGGGATCTGTATGTGGCTAACCAGCCAACCGCGTTACCCGCCAGCGGACCTTCTTGAAAATTTCTGATCGAAGGTGCACCCTGTCCAGGAGACGATCTCACCTGGCCGTGTCACTCCCTCGTTTGAGTCCGTCATCGATTGCGTATCGATTCCTTCCTGACGGGCTCACTTGGCACCGTCTTCCTTGCTGGACAGGTGTCTTAGCATCTACTCCATAAATTGCTGCTACTGCTGCTGCTGAAATGTGTTGCTGGCGAAGGAAAAATTCTGACATCTTCGTCATCGTTTTGTTGAGTAGTGCGGCAGTCAGCGGTTCTTTCCTGACCCTGATCGGAATTTCCGGAGCGGTCTATTCTACCTGATTGGGCTGCATCTCTGCCGCTAAGTCGGATGGGCCGTGCCGGTTCAAATGAGACAGAATCGCCTCCATTAATGCGGCTCTATTCGCTGAAATCGGCAAATTATAACGGCGCGCTTCCCTCTGTAACTACTCCAGCGAAACCTCTTCTAGCGCCGCGCGCTTCCACCAGAACGGATCTTCGGCATCGCCGATACAAATTTTATTACTGTTCGCTCAAAACTATGGAGTGTGCACAGAATCTCGACCGTTTCAGTATTCCCTCGAACGAATAGCGAGCTACGAATCCCACTTCTGAATTAATATGAGCTGTAAGATAGCTCATAGGAATCAGCGGTGGGATTAAATAAATCAATTCAATTGTTTTTAATTAATACACACACAAATAAGAGCGTTTATTCAGTTCGAGTCTGCTTTACAATATTTCTGAAATAGAGTTACTCCGATTCTAGCGTGCATACTGTGCCATGTGTACCGGCCATATTCGAATATAAGACCGTTAAATGAACGAGAACTGAGGCGCGCGGTTTTACCAAGTCTTTTCTTTTAAATTAATTAGCTCGAGCTAATTAGCGCCGATTATTACTATTTATCACTGTTACTGAACTTAACTGTTCGACCGATTTCCAAGACGACTCCCGATGCGTGTGCCTTTTCGAAGGAGAGTACCACGTTGCTCCAATTTGTCGGGGATCGGAGCACGGATCGAAGGATCCGTGAATGATCCCGAAACTATTAGAACCGGCTTCGTTTCCGGTTCACGAGCGCCGAATCCCGCTAATTAATCAATTACCACCTCGCGAAGTGTGCTGACACTCGATAGGTACGGCAGCCGGGAGCTGGCGCCATCGATCAGTCTATCGATTCGCTTAGTTTTAGCACAATATCTTACATAAGTATCAAACTGGATATTCCTGGGCTTGGAGCTGGAACCCAGGAAGATAGTTCTTGTGGAATTTAATAAATCAGGATTTTGTGATAAGAGTATGAATGTCGAAATAAAAGGAACAAAAATCAAAAATAATAAAGAAGCAAAATTTCTAGGGATCAGGCTAGATAACAAGTTGTCGTTCCACGCGCAAGTTAATTCAATGAAGAGCAAAGTGTTTAAGGCTAACAATTTATTGAAATATATTAACAAAACCAGGAGAGGAATGGAGGTCAATATAGCTCTTCTACTATACAAAAGCTTGGTGAGATATAATAGATTACGGAATCTTTACGTATTTTCCAAGAGAAGAGAGTCAAGCTATTAGGATAGAAAGAGCGCAATATGCAGAATTAAGAACTGCCATGGGATATAGAAACAGTACCGAATAATGTGTATAATAGCAGAGTCAAAGGTCATGTTGCTACGAGATAGAGCAGGCATGTTGGTCAGGAACTTTGTTTTGAGAAACAAAGTGAGTTGATGTATGGCAGTCAGGAAATGAAGGATAAAATTATAGAGCTAACGAAAAGAGAACTATTCAAGATACAGAAAGATTCAAAAGAGTTGCATAGTAGAAACATGGGAGAGAGTTAAATGGCTGAGAAAGAAAGCAGGTGAAAAAAGAAAATATGAGATCTTTGATATCGAATTTAAAGAAGGCATAATAGATACGAACACACTCACAAGCAGAGGATGGGGCAGGAGAATTAAAAATGAAAGTCAGCTTATGGAGGAATTTATTACAAAAAATGATATGAAGAAGAGGACCAATATACATCATTTACACGGATGGATCATATAAAAAGAATAGCAGATCTACAGGAGTTGGTATTATATTCGAAGAACAAGAAGAGGCTTATAAAGTGAGTTTACAAATGAATGCTCATCGTATACGGCGGAAATACTAGCAATAAGATCGATAATAGATATTATAGAAATCCATCATATTGAAGAGTGTAAGAACTTTTTAATCCTTACGGATTCATTGTTATCTTTACAAGCGCTTGAGAATAATCTATTGAGCGTGTACAAAAATCCATACCATTAAGGCTAGACAAACGTATTATAGACTGCTATCAGATAATCAAATTAGGATAGTACTTGGATAGATATCAGCACATTCAGGTATAACAGGCAACGAGTGAGCGGATGAATTGGCAAAGGAGGCTACAGAAGAGGATCTTAAGGATAACATCTTAGTACCATATGTAGTACCATATGTATTAGTACCATAGTACCATATGTATTAGTACCATATATATAATTTGAAAAAAATATTTAAAAAAGAAATGTGGAATAGGACACAAGAGACAATTATTTTGCAAGCAAGGTATAAAGGAAAGTTTTACTTTGAGAATTTTTATAAAAGAGAAAGAAGAAAACCATGGTTTCAAAAGATCAATAAAAAAAGATATTATACGGTATGGATAAATAGGATAAGAGCAAACCATTTCAATTTGGGAGAGTCACTTGCAAGGAAGGAGTATGCAGAGGACGCCAGATGTGAATGCGGGCATGACACAGAAGACTTGGATCACATGATTGGACAATGTGTGCGGTACGACGAGAAGAGGGTAAAGATGGACGAAATATTGAGAGAAGAGGGAAAATAACGGAAGAACTGAATATAATAGAGGCTATCAAGCGAAAAAAGTGGAGGTTAATCAAGCAAATATACAGTTTTTTCAAGAATATAGGGAAAATAAGATTTAGATACATGATAATTTAGAAACATGAATCATCAGGGAAGAAAGAAGATCTGTACGTTTTCCCTGTTTAAGGTTGGTTTATGGAAGCCGCAATCTGTTAACTTATGCTGTAATCGTAAAAAATTGACCAATCATAGTCGATTATTCTTCTATAATTCGATTGTGATTGGTTAATTTTTACGGTTATGACATAAGTTAACAGATTATGGCCTCGATAAATCAAC